TTTTGTAGTTCTTGAAGTCTAGTTTCTACTGTCCAAAAATTAACTCAATTGAAGTTAAGATTAAAAATTTATAATCAAAATACTAAGATAATGTCAAATTCCTTCANTAATTGATTGATATCAATAATTTGTATAAATAAAACATGTGTCTATTCGTCAACAAGACCCATAAACAAAATTTATGATTCAGCTAAATCCAAGTCATGAAATTATATACCCATGAATTGCCATAAAACAACAAAGATATGTGAAGACTTCTTCAGCCAAGGGTTCAGGGTTGAACATTAACTTGGATCGAAAAAAAAAAGTCCGAATAAATAAGATTGGCTGTTATAACGCTCCAAAATCCACCTTGAAAGGCAGTACCATCTACTAACTATCCACCTATGAGAATAACTAAAAATAACCATTAGAACAACTAATCGTTCATTCATCTAATAAAGAATAAATGCTAAAACCAATAAAACATTAAAACCTCTCCAACTTACAATTCAAACCAAATAGTATCTAGCAGCGGAATAATTAAAATTAGCTTAAACATTGTTTCATAGAAATCTCTCAAATAAAATAATCTAGACTAAGACGAAGTATCTCTAACCTCCACTTTAGGATCCTCATACTGATCCTCTTCATTCTCGAGGTCGACCTACTCATCTAATTCGACATTCTCCTCTCTGCCAAAATTTGTAAATGTGTTGTAGGGGTAAGCAAAAGCCCATAGAAAATTCTTCTCAAATCCCAACAAAGTTTTAAAACAATAAAAAGAAGTCAAGTCTCTTTTGAAAAATAGCATATATAAATTTTTTTGAGTAAAACCATGACAATTGTAATGATCTCAAGTGTACAGAATACAGTAAATTAATGAAAGAAATACACATGTCTGAATTTAAGCAATCAATTAATAACTCAGTAGCATCATCACATATTCTCATGTATGTTGGTTCATCCTCATTCTCATGTATGTTGGTTTATTCCCATTATCATATATGTTGGTTGCTTCTCATAAATCAACACAACGATTCTATCTCGTTCACCCACCACAACCACATAATCTTAATCATTTCCTGCATGGTCAAATTACAAACTACTTTAGGAAGGGCGTTTAGCATCTCCCACGACATTGACGAATCATTCTCAAGAAATGTATATCATCTCTCAGCCTCAAACTTACGTAAACAATAGTAGTTGCTCTCACAAACAAAAATCTACTACAAGTGTTAGACAACCATCTCATCTCCACTAGGATAGACTAACCTATAACACTCTAAGGCAGCTCTCGAAAGCAATTCAAGTCCGTCACAACAAACCATACAAGAGATGAAACCACAATTTTCTCAACAATTACAATTTTAATCAATCACAATTTTCATTAACAATTCAAGTATCACAATTGTACAATTCTCAATATACTATAATAATAAAAGAATTAAAATATGCAAGAGATCATCTTAAGGAAACCTTCACATTTTCTATATCAAAATTTTAGGATTTTTGCCAAGAATCTTAATTTCTTGGAGCAAGAACAAGTATTAGATGAAAACATGATTTAATCAAGAATATGACTTTAGAAATCAAAAATCCGTGTATTTTTCATAATAGAACATGTATTTTGGAAAAATTAGGATTTTAAAAATTCAAGAACAAATATTTTTTGAATCCAAACATGTATTTTGTTCAAAACTATGTTTCAATGATAAAGAAACCAAGAACTCGTAAGTATCTATCATATAACTATCAAGAATATTGCAAACATACATATACAATACCCTAAGTCTCAATGATAGAACTTGAGAAGAATCCCCTACTTTGATTCCATAGTTTGTGATGCAAACCCTAGCGTGCTCTATCCGTGCTCTAAGCAAAAATCCTTTCAAGTAGTGTTTTCTCCCTTTTCTTCTCACCCTTTAGGGTTTTCTACAATGAAAAACTGATGAAACTACGCCTAAGGGTCATTCCCTAGGTATTTATAATGTAAAAATTGGAGAAAACACCCAAAACAAGTTAGGGACGTGCAACGCTCTACTCAGTGCGTCCGGACACGTGTCTTTTATTATCCGGACACATTTTTTTGCCCAACTTTCTGCCAAAATGCGTCCAAACGCGTGTCTATTTTCGTTCGGACACGTGTGACAGTATACCTTCGACTTCCATCTCGATTTTAACCTATTTAGAAATCGATTCAAAATTTTTTGTGAAATACATTTTTGTAGTTCTTGAAGTCTAGTTTCTACTGTCCAAAAATTAACTCAATTGAAGTTAAGATTAAAAATTTATAATCAAAATACTAAGATAATGTCAAATTCCTTCATACCGGAATTCTTTCTAAAACGCGCTTTAACTTTAGGATACTTTCTAACTTCTAATACACCCCATATTACCTCTTCTAAAGTTTCTCGAACTTCCGAATTCAATGATGAACTTATTTTAACCTAAAAATATTTAGAAACTTACCTAACCACTCTTGTCATGCTTAAACGCTTCTGAAACTTAAACTTCATGATCAATTTGTCTCTCACGTATTTATTTCTACTCTTATAACATATATGATTCATTATTATATCATTACATACACAAGCATTATAATATAATTACGTCACTATATGAAGATATGTGAGAGTTTACAGCTATAGAAGATTGATGGGTATTATTCAACTACAATGATTTCACGAGAAAACTTCAAGCGTGTAACCATTGCGTTTCTCCGTTTCTGTGGTTCATATTCACAATGTAACAATTGCGTTAAACACAAAAGTAGATGTTCTAGCTTTGTCTTCTCCGAACTCGGAGAAAGCCAGACAAAAAAAAAACTCCATTATTTATCTTTTTTTTTTTTTTTGGAACGATTGGATAACGAAATTTAAATTCATAAAACTGTAATTTAAGATTTATTGAGCTCTAAAATCATATACAAATGAGAAGTTTTTAAAATTTTTGTATTTTGAAATTAATTAATATTTAATTTGGGAGTTCATCTGTAACCTGGGAGCTAATTAAATTGGGTTTGATTGGAATGTCAGTTTTCATTGAATTTAGTAGTCTGTGTCCATTCCAAGCGGTTGCTAATTTAATGAGATACTCGAAGACCTTGTAGCAATTATTACTGCTGGTCACCTGCACAAGTCAATGAACGTAGGCCATCTTACTTCTTTGTGGGGGTGTCAATTCATGTCTAGCTGTTAGGGCCGTGTCATTTATTTTTCAATTATGTTCGAAATATTTAACGTGTTATAATTGCTAAATATTAATTCAATTTATATACGTAATAGTTATTATTTGTACCTGAAAATATAGAGTAATAAAAAATAATAAAAATATTTGTATTTATATTCAAAATTAAATTATAAACATAGAGAATAAATTAATCAATTTAAGCATTAATTGTAGTAAGAGTGAGAAATGGTGATCGACAATGGTGGTGGTAGGACACGGTCATGATTGTAGTGGGTGACAATAACCGTAGTGGTAGTGGCGACGACAATAGTGGTGGTGGTAGTGGTAATGACGACGATAACGATGGCAATGGTGGTGACGGTGATTGTGGTAGCGATGACGACGGTGACAGTGGTGGTAGCGATGGCGGTGGTGGTGGTGGTTGTGGCGGCGATGATGGCAACGATGGTGGTGGCAGTAGTGATGGCGGTGATGACGGCAACAATGGTGGCGGTGGTGATGGTAGCGGCGGTGGTGATGGTNGATGGCGGTGATGACGGCAACAATGGTGGCGGTGGTGATGGTAGCGGCGGTGGTTATGGTGGCGACTGTGGTGATAGAGGTAGGGGTGGGGCAGTTTCAAATACTATTTTTTTTTAAAATACTTATGAGAAATAATTCTCATAATTACTTTTAAAAAGTCACTTCAAACGCATCCTTAGGAGCCTATTTTTTCTATTAAATTTAGGGTATTAATATTAGTCGTTAGATTAAGTTTAACGTAAAATTTAAAGCAATCTAAACCGCGAAAAGTAAAAATTATTTTGTTTATCTTTTAAGATTTGAATTATAATCTATTTTATTATATAAATATTTATCAATCATCTTAATTAATTTTATGTCGAGTTCATATTATGTTCTTCTTAATGTGTTACATTAATACCCCCAACTATATTGCATCTACCTTTCTCAAGAATTTTTCTCTCCATAGTTTTTATGTTGCACTAGTCCGGTGTTATACATTGTTTCCACGTATTCTATTTCCTATTTAGAATCTAAAGTACTTTATATACATTATTTGTTTGGTGCACGAATGAAGATGTTGGAGAAAGTGGCCATGATTAGACTCATGGTTAGACAAGATGGCTCTAGCAGTTAGTACTCATCCCCTATAACGGAAGGCTACATAGAAAAGATTGCTTGATCAACAAACACTGTCTCTCTCTATCTTTCTTTGTTTATTTGTTGCATTTTTCTTTACTATGTAACCATAATTCCGGTGATCTTTGTTTTTTTTTTTTATTAATGCTAAGTACAATAATTTTCAAAATACTCTTTGTTGTTTACCTTATTGTTCTTTTCAATTCTAATACCTTTCTCAAATTCTAGTTTTTTAAGTAATTTCAGTGAAAATTGCTTAAATCTCTGATTTCTAAGAAAGAAAAAATAGTCTAGAAATAATTTTACACGTTATTACGATTGTCTAAACTATAACAATGTTAGAATCTCACTCTGATTCGAGTAAATAAGATCGTAAGTGTTTAAAAATTTTAAATCCATTCGCATTTTAGAACGATCACAATCCAAAATCCACTAAACACTAGAGATTTCAAAATTAATTTGTGAATTAAAATGCGTGTAATCATGCTAATTTCTCCCCGACAACAGTCTCCAACATTAGTCATTTACAGCGACATTTGCACATTTATTTAATCATGCATGATGTGAAAGCAAGACTCCAGGAATTAGTATTTAGAATCTGAATTTTTTTGTTCTGTTAACATATCAATGTCACTATCATCTCTCTCTATGCTTACACACACGTCACATGGCGAAAAAGCAACGGGGCAATGTGCTACGGCCGGCGAGGCTTCGATGGCGCCGCCAAGAATGGTTTAGCTGCCGGTGAGAAGATGGGAGAGGAGGAAATCGCAGGTATACGGCGCCAACTAGAAGACGAAACGGTGGGTTTGGTGGTATCCACATCCTCTCTATGATCTCACTCCAAACCACGCCGGAAATCAGGTGTATCGCGGTGCCATTATTTTTTAGGTCCAAATAATTAAGTTTGAATTGTATTACTCGACAAAATAACTTGATCACAATTGCCGGGTGTATGACTTTGTGGGTCCTATCTATGACACCCCCTTTCTCGCTCTTTTCTTGTGCATGTTTTTTATTTTTTTTAACTTTTCAATTCATTAAAAATATATATATACAAAATGGGCGGAACCTACTATAATTTCGCGGTTTAGAGAGAGTCAAATAAATATAATTTTATTTTTGTACACGAAAATTCTTTATGTAACTCAAATACTTAATTTAAGGCTGAATTTACAATTGAGCAATTATACCCGAGGATAATGGCTCGACATGTACACCACTAGTGATATCTGTGATGTTTGGATGGTAGTAACAATGGTATAATAATAGCTTTTGTTGCTGGTCCTAAGGAACTGGCAATGAAGTATGGGAGCGACGGTGCTACGGTGGTGGACACTGGCGGCCGAAATGATGGATGCCAGTCATGAGGATGAGTCAATGTTCCTGGGAATGACGGATGCAATTCTGACCAAGCCCACCCACGCACCCTTGAAATGGGTAAAACATACTTTCAATTTTTAACAAATGATTAGGTAGGTAGAAATTCGAATGAAAAGATTATTTCAATGCATGATTAGGTGGGCTTTTCAATTAGCCACCTTGCTTTGTAAAATGCTTTAATTTCAAATTTAGTTGCTTGGGTCTGTGCGTGCATATTTTTACACAATATAAACATAAGAACAGATCTCTTCCGTGATGAATACAAGTTCGTCGATCGAGTGATCAATCTTGCCACTTGAAATAGGTTGTGAGGGTCGAAGGTGGCCTAAGAAGTGGTGATGAAACGTTTTTGTGGGTCGCCTGACTGGTCCTGGAAGGCTAAGAGAGGTTCCTGGAACAGAGAAAAACAGGTCAGAAGGGTGCCAGAGTGCTTTTCGGCGTATCCCCTCCGACGATCAAGTCAGTTCTTTGAGAGAGGGGAAGAAGAAAATATTGTATGATGCTTGAGAAAGGGTTTTTGCGTACCTCTTTTATGTGTTTGTGAAGACTATTTATATCTTAAAAACTCATCATTGCTGACAGCATAGCTAGTAGGTAATCATTGGAGGTGGGCAGTGTGCATACTAATTTCTATGAATAATGTTCTCATTCTTAACTGCTCAAGACCCCGAGCAACTAATATTTTCTCCTCAGTCTGTCGAACATTTAATGACCTTCTCTCGGCGGGGATGTATTAAATGCCCAGACATTGGAACATTTATTACTTTTCACTTCTAGGCTCTCATGCATTAAATGTTGTCTCATCAAGGGAATGATGTATTAAATACTTGCTTTCCCAAATCGTGTGTCAGCAAGGGCATTCTGATCTTTTTATCTCTGATCTGACACAATACGCCACGTGTTCATTCCCACTTGGTTGAGCCTTCTACTTTCTTGTGCCTCCTGACACCATTTGAGTAAAACGAGGTCATGATGGCTAGTCTAGCCTAGCCTAGGCTAATGATCTGTCCATCAATAGGCCCTACAGGAGCAGAACCGCCCACGTGGATAAATACACCTCGGTGCCGAGGGACTAGCATGATTAGGACCGATATACCCAAACTGTCGAGGAATACATGTCGGTCCATGGTGGGTTGGGGATCCTTGATCCCTATGAATAGCATCCTTGGGGCAGGGGGATGGAAACCGACGAAACATGTCGGGATCAGAGCGGAGAGTCTCCATTGACGCCGAGTACATGTGTCATCATCTAGGAGTGTCTGAAAATGTCCCATCAACTGCCCCCCAGCCTTTGATCTTCTAACGCCGAGGACACGCGTCGTCGGAAGACGAAGGGTGCTGCAACAACCCCAACCACCCCATCATTGCTTTCAGTCATTTTTCGCTGCTTGGGGGCTCGTGCGCATGAAATGCGCCTCTCCGGGCTTCGTGCCCAATGTGGGGACCGGTGCTATATAAACGGGCTTTTATCTCTTTCCCACACTTTTACCATTTTCCAACTCAAAAAGCTTTTGCTAAAAAACTTCGTTGGAGACCCTCTCGTCACATCGTCTACCAATCAGTCATCACCGAAGTTTAGACCAGCAAACCCCTTCTTGCTTCTGAACCTTTCTCGAGAAAGGAATCACTCCAAGTCCCTCAGGAGTCTTCATTTGCATTCTGGTGAGTCCTTGCATCCTCCTTCTTCCCATTCTTCTTTTGGGTTTTGCTTTTCTTTTTTCGGTAACCGGGGGTGTTTCTGGTTGTCATTGTTTGACCAACCCTCAGGAAACCTCTCGGGGTTCCTTGTCAAAAAACTCTTTTTCCTTCCCCTTTTCTTTTTATTTTAATTGGAGATACCCCGACGCCGCCCTGTTATCGANCCAACCCTCAGGAAACCTCTCGGGGTTCCTTATCGAAAAACTCTTTTTCCTTCTCCTTTTCTTTTTATTTTAATTGGAAATGCTCCGATGCCGCCCTGTTATCGAGGACCCCCAGGCTAGTTTCTCGAGGCCAAAAAAGTACAAAGTGAAGGGGGACCAGCAGATCAATAGGTTTAGGGCTTGATATCACATCCCCCAAAACGTAGGTATAAAAGAGTACAACCCAGTTTTGCATAACCGTAATCTCGAGGTCGAGGATGAGATGCCCTTTTTCACCAAAGCAATCATAGAGGGTAGAATTAGGTTCCCCCTGCCTCCTCTACTCCTCCAGTTCCTCTCTCATTTCAACCTCTTCTCAGGACAGTGTTGTCTTAATGTCTTTAGGATAATAATGGGGGTTTAGAGCTTAACAACCGCCTCGGGGTAAATATTAGACTCAACGATATCCTTTTTAACTACTCCCTGTTGAGGGTCATGCCCCAGTAGAACTTCTACCTCAAAGTCAGGGATCTATCCATGTACCTCGTAACTCACCTCCCTGATTCGGATAAAGGGTACAAAGACGACCTTTTGATCTTCAGCGGATCTTGGGAGAAGGGAACCGGTCCCGAGTACGATGGTCTGAGGTGCCCTCTTAAATGGAGAACGACAAGTACGTCGGCCTCTTCAAGTCCAATTTTTTACTGTTCTTGGGATATTTTACAAGTGTTAATAACCTTCTTTCTTGTGCAGACGTCTCCGCCCATGAAGTCACTCCTCTTCCTCGGTCTTTGGTGAACTTTGCTGACCTCATCACTGTTTGGAAGTTTGTCAGCTACGACAGGTTTGGCGGAGTCGCTCATTTTCTTATGGACTACACAGCAGGGTATAAGAAATTTTCACAGCTCCCCCAACCTTTCAACCATTCGCAGTGGTCTGAGCTCTTTAATCAGACAGCGCAACAAGAGGCCGAGCAGAACTTGGAGGAAGACCCTCACAGGGCTACTGAGGCGGAAGTTGAGGGCGCCCCCGAAGTTGAGTTCAGGGCCAGAGAGGCTTTTGTTCCTTCACATGCCGAGGTGGGGACCTTAAGGAGAGATTCGTGGCCTGACTTCAACATCCTCCAGTCCCTAGACGTAGAGGACGCCTTTGAGGTAGCCATGTCACACATGCCCCGTATAGACCTGGGTTTCCTAAGGCAGAGGCAGTCCCTTGCCGCAGGGAGAGGATGTGGGTCAACCAGCAGCGCCCCATCAAGAGGGACCAGCGCTAACCCCCCACCTTCGAGGGCCGTTGGTCGGGGTCAGGTGCGTGATCGAGATCCCCAAGTTGAGGAGGACCAAATGGGTTACCCCCTCCACCTCAATAGCAACAACAACAGCAGAGACAGACTCCACTTCCGCCGTCGTAGACGGTGGAAGCTGCGGAGTAAAACCCTCGGGCTACTGATCATATGAACCGAGTGATCAAGGTCAACGATTCCATTCTACAGGACCCCCATATTGCCAATACAGTGAGCGAGACGCTCCACTTCGAGGCCGACATGGACGCTCACAGAGGGTAGACAATGAACACGTTGTTCCGTTCCATCATTCAGAATTTTCTGGTGGTAAATTTATCTTTGGTTTAGCCTTTCCTCACTGTATCACCCACATATTGACCAAGTTCTTTCCCTCGCAGACCACCCAACAAATTTCCATAATCGCTGCGAGATACCATGCAGCTAGGATAGACCTCAAACGGACCCAAGAGCAGAAGGAAGAGGTTGAAGGAGCCTTGGCCAGTGCTAAGGAGGACGTGGCTGCCAGAGACTCCACCCTCGCAGGCCAAGCCGCGTAGATTGAGCAACTTCTCGAGGACAGCGAATTGGCGAAGGTCGGCGCTGAAAAGCTAAGTGCCGCCTTGGCCGACGCTGAGAGGAGGATCACGTAGTAGACGGAACGGCTCTCTGTGGCAGAGGTAAGTGTTGTCGGGTCAGAGGAGAATTGTCTGCCTCTGACCTAGGAGCTGGACAGGATCAGGGCTGAAGCGAAGAACAGGAAGTCTGAGGAGCAAATCCGAGAAAAGTTCGTCGATGACGTACTACCCGTCCTTGAGGAGAACAACAAAAAGTTCTTCAAAAAAGGGTGGGATGAGGCGATTCGAGCAACCGGTGTCCTTCCAGACTCTCCACTCTTCCAGATGCATAGTTATGTGCCATCGACAGAGATGGTGCAAGTCGAGGCCAACATTGCTGTTGAGGGTGTGGCTCTAGTGCCGATGCAAGTTTTGGCAGACCCACCTGAGGTGGTAATCCTCGTCCCATCTGATGAAGTCCTACCAGAGTCAGCTCCTTCTGCTCCCGAGTCCAACATTCCTCAGGTCTTGCTTGTTGCTGATCCAGCTCCGCCTACCCCAGAAGCTGCTCATCCTTTCTGCGTTGATTCTCCTTGCAACGATGTGTTGGAGATGTCGAGGGCTAGATGAAAAATTCTTCTTTCTTTTTGAACTTTACATTTGCATTTGAATATGTATTTTTCCTCTTGTCCTTGTAGCTCCCGGGGACGTAAAGCCCCGCTTTTGGAATGAATGGCTCCTCTTATATATATATATATATATGCAGTAACTATTGGTAACAAAATATCTTCATAGCTCTGACACCCGGGGAGCAATTTGGTTTATCCGTCCGATTGGTTTAGCTTCATCATTTCTATGGGGGGTAGTATCCTCCCCAGGGGTTTGTTCCTCGGACTGCCTTGACGGCATTGCCCTTCCAAGAGGCTTGCTCCTGATTTTCCTTCGGAGACAGGAGTCTTTGAACTCTGCCTCCAGGGCCTTACCCTTTCAGGAGGCTTGCTCCTGGTTTTCCTTTGGAGGCAGGAGTCCTTGAACTCTGCTTCCAAGGCTTTGCCCTTTCAGGAGGCTTGCTCCTATTTTTCTTTCGGAGGCAGGAGTCCTTGAACTATGCCTCCAGGGCCTTGCCCTTTTCAGGAGTCTTGCTCCTTTTTTTCTGTCGGAGGCAGGAGTCTTTGAACTCTGCCTCCAAGGCCTTGCCCTTGTAATACTGCCATTAATAAATGCTGAGAGAGATAATACTCAAAAATAGTACTTCTTCATATTTATTACATTTCAAGGCCGTATTATAGGTTTTCCTCCCATATCTTCTA